GGGGGGGGGGGGGAGACTATATACAAGTACTGAAGATAAGAAGAACCTGAGCATGATCAGTGATTCCAACTGTTGCCACTGAACCCTCATGCTTCACCCATTCATGTGAAGATGCATACTTCAGACCATCAAGAACTACAAAAACCAAGATTTTCAAGAAACTTAATGTAAATTTTTTAAATATATTTACTTAAAAAAAGCAGTTCAGTGCACTAAGCTCCCGTTATGCGTGTAGTTAGAGGAAGGGCAGGACCACAAGGGTAGCCTTAACCTCCATTCCTGCAAGAGACTATTTTAACGGCTCGAACACTGGACCATCTGGTCACATGGCAGCAACTTTACCACTTACGCCAAGGTTCCTTATCAATGTTTACTCAGTGAGAATGAAAAAAAGGAGCTTATTGGATTGAAAAAGTTACCAGTAGAAAAGCATCTAGAGATTGAAAAAGCAGGGGAAAGATTAGCTCTTGAGGCAGTGGATACTCTCAATGCATTGGCTGTTGAAGAAGCCCACATTCTCAAAGCCATTTTTCTCTCTAGTAATGTCACAAAAGGGAGTGAAAGGTTACTGCTATATACTTCTGGTTTTTATTATCTAAGATTGAATGGTGTAAAATGAAAGCCTCATCCTAAAGTCAGGGACCAAAATGCTTTATATCTTTTTTGGTAATGACAGATTAATAACCTGAAAATACCTTGTTATAACATGTTAGCAAATGTAAACAGGGAATGCAACCTTGAGTACCTTTCTTTTTCTATTATACCAAGTGATATTCCGGCTAGCGTGCTCTTTGACTGATTCACTGAATACCAGTTAAATCCTACGAACGAGTACTCAGTGACGAAGCTAGAAATTTTTTTAAGGGTATTCAGACTTGAAAGAAGTAAAACAATTTTCCGACAAAGAGTGTTCAATATATATTATATACATCTAAAATTAATATTTTATTTATATACACAGTGTATTTTTCGTAATATTTCGACGAATGGTGATCAATTGACCACCCTTAGCAAAAGATGGCTTCGCCCCTGCGAGTACCCGATAGCTCTATCCATCAAGTTTAAGCAACAACAACAACAACAATAAAAAAAAAACTCCAAGTATAGTCCCATAAATGGGGCCTGAGGAATATAGTATGTACGCACACCTTATGAGCTTGTTTTCGATAAACCATCAGCTAAACTAAACTAAGTTTAAGCAAATAAAAAAAAATAACCAAAAACTTTTTTTCTTTGTTAAAATTTGATTCTTGATATTTCATAATCTTTACTCACTTTATTTACCTTTAGGCTACACCATTGAGTGGCTTTGAGTACCTAAAAAATAACTGGAAAGGGTAAGCCTTAAATCTTCTGCTTTAGAAATGAGTGGCGAGCCACAAGAAGTGTTATCCTTTTGTTAGGCTACACAAGGGCAACATGGGACCACTATGGACTATGACATTAAGTATCATACTTTAATCTTTCCTAATAATATCAGTTTGTGATCCAAATGATTGTAAACTATATTATATTTATAAATGGTATCCGATAACTTGTACATATTTAGGCTATTTCATCAATATTTATTATCTCTTACCGGCACATATATCAAGTAATACAGTCCACTAAAACTTAAAAGAGTTAATATTCTAAAACCCTCTTAAACTATTATATTTTTGTCAATTTTCTATTTAAATTATTCGATGTCCTCAAAATCCCCTGAACTATATTGTCGCTCGTATTAAAACCCCTTCATCGCTGACCTTACATAACATGTGTAGATACTCGCTTGGGAACACGTGGTAGCGGAAAAACGCCATCAAAATTGCCCACCAAATAGAAAATAATGGCTAATTAGCCTAACCCTCTTTCAAATTTATTTATTTTAGTAAATATTCTCCTTATTTTAGTTATATCCATCTTTCTTCCTCATTTTTCACCATTCTTCCTTATTTTTCCACCTTTCTTCTTTGTTTTTCACCTCTTTCTTCATTTTTTAACCTTTTTTCTTCAATTCTACATATGGGTTTCCTCTGGAAAAATTTCTCCCTCTCTTGTTTCCTCTGAAATTATTTATTCTCTTCTTGTTTTAGTCTTCTTTCATGTTTTACACATATTGTTAAAAGAATACCAATTTAAATCTTCTTATTAAACTCAACACCTTGTAAAGAATAAAGTTGAATCTCTTGAACCTTCTTTATGTAATCTGGAATTAGAGAATGTAATTGCGGGGCAATTGATTTTTTATTTGCGAAATTTTATTTTGTGTAATCTTTTTTATGTAATACAAGATGACTTTTAAGAAATATAACATTATATGCCTTTATTTATATTTTAACTATGCTACAAAGTGATTATAAATAAGGACTTATCAGTTGGAGTCTAACATAAAGCACGATCACAATTAAACCTAAAATTAACACAGTATATTAGATATTATTTTGGCGAAAACTCTTAGAATTAATCAATCATTCGAGAGTAATACATCATGAGTAAACTATATAAAAAATTTTGTACAAACTATAAATTAATATAGTTAGACATATGCATATTTAAAAGTCCAACATGGGATTTTAATATATAGGGGATGATAGTAGGCTAGGAACCCGTATTTTAGATGTATTTTACACTCTAATTACTACACTTTGAATATATTTAAGTCTAATTGTTATTACTTTTTACTTATTATGTGTGTTATACGGTATAGGATTTGATTTCAACTTGAAAAGCAAGTTTAGAGCTAAAATGAATGATTTGGAGTTTTGAAATCTGAGTAAAAGCCCAAAGAATTAAATCGAAATCGAGTTCGGGGTCGAGGTCCGAGTATGCATAAGAAAAATGAGAAAAAATTGTCAAGGAAATAAATCAAGGATGTCATATCATAATTTGGCATTCAAATGTTTAGAAGAGTCACATCTAATTGGCAGAGGGAGTCAGAATTTCAAGCTTACGGGTTCGTGATTCTAATCGTTAAAAGTTACTGGGTTCTA